ACACCTAAATGAGTAATTGAGTTGTTAAAGTAAATCAATAGATTTATGGATCAATACTTTATACTTGTTTTAATAGATTTATGATGAATTTCACAATCATATTCTCCTAAAATATATTTGCACTTTTCGTTTGGATTTAGTGCATCAGACCCCTTCGTAATATGTAAACTATGCGCATTAGCCATTTGTGATTTAATTTTTTTTGAAGACCACTAATGTGTTATAATTAACTATGCGCAAAATCCCTTGTGTTATATTATGACAATGATTTTCATGTTGTTTAATTTATTCCTGAAGGCGATTTTGCATTGGGCCTGATTATTTATCAGAGAGGGGTTTGCCAATTTTTTCTTTAATGTGCACAATTTTCTCTTTAATGTATCTCAAAATTATCTATCATTCTCAATTTAGAAATTTGATAATAAGGTTCACCTTAATACTATTGATTAATTTTGGGATGGAGGAGTTTTAGATTCTTTTATATGAAGTATGATACAACAATATTATGTAAGCATTTAAGGAATGAAGGAACGTTTGCGATTACTTCTACTTCAAAAGAATAAATTTTAAAAGTGATATGAAAAGTGTTTAATAGTAAAAGTGTTTAATACTTGAAAAAAAAAATCTTATTGGTGATTTAAAAAAAAAGTTTGGAAACCGTCTCTCTGTTCTTTAGTGCAGGGGCAAGACTGCGTACATCCAACCCCCTTACCCCATCGTAGGTGGGAACCTTTACGGTAGGGATGGAAATGGGTCGGGTATACCATTACCCGTACGGCCGTACCCACCCCATTATTTGATTTATAATCCTTGTATCCACCCCATTCCCCGCCAGGTAATTTTTTTTACCAGAACTGTACCCGGTTGGAACGGTTTTCCCCGCGGGTAACCACATTATTTAAATGTAATTTTGCTTTTCTAAAACAATATCACTACCAATAAATAACTTAATTATCCATGGACATTTTTTTCCAATAAGCACCGCAAATCAAATCTTATCACAACAATGAAGTTAAAATATAATTACAAAGTCATTATAACAGTTACGGTATTACACATGTACACAAAGAAAAACAGAGCACCACTTAGTAACTTTTATACTCTTATATCATTTACATAGAAAAATTACAACAACTACACAAACTAATCAAAACTAAAGTGAAAGAGAAACTAAAATAATTTATTACATAGAAAATTATAGCAACTACACGACCTAATATCTTCCCGCACAAGTGATACTTCGTATATTTTACAAATGATATGATATATACCTTTTTTTTTTATCAGAAACTACAGTTAATTTGTTCAAATCCTAACTACTCCCTCCGTCCCATTTATATTGTCCCGTTTTACCTTTTCGGAAAGTCCCACTTAAATTGTCTCATACCATATTTGACAAAGATTATGTGGTTCCAAATCATTCTTACTTTATTCTTACTTTATCAATTAATATCAACCACACAAATCCACTTTACTTAATAACCGTGTCACCCTCTTCCGTCCCAATATAAATGGGACGGAGGTAGTATTTTAGAAATGCTATTTTGTGAGAGGGGCCTAAAACACGTACTTAGCAGCAGCATCAAAACCCAATAAATAAATAAATATACACCTCAACCAGTGGCAAAAAAAATCTTTGCTGTCAGTATAGCATTCATTACAGGACTAACGTTTTCATACACGTCTCAAAAAGGAACGGTGAATGGCAACGCATATATTCCCACATCCTGCAAAAACTGGGCGCAAGGGGCTCTCAAAGCCGTTGCACTGCAGTGCAACTCATAGGAGCTCGTCATTGGCTTCATAGACTTCATCTTCTTCGCACATCTCATCTCACTCTCATCACACGTTCCCTTGAATAACCAATCTTCATCATCACTGCAATCAAGAGTGTCGCTCAATCTAGAGGGAATCAATTTCTCTATTAAATCCTTGCACAGTTGTACTACATTTCTTCTCTTTGCATAGGCGTCTCTGTCACTTAGTTTGGATTTTGGAGCAGATAGTGAAATCTTGTCAATGGTATCTCGTGGGACGCCGACAGTAGACGTCAATTCACATTTGGCCATTTGGGACTTTGGGTTGTACATGTAAATCAATTCGGCCCGAAGTTGAACAAAACTCTTCAGCTTGAGCTAGAGAAGTAGAATCATGGTTGTTTTGCTTCTGTAAAGGAAGCCGTATCTTGAACACATTTCCATGATATATACAGTATTTACATAATATATTACTAGTAAATATATAATCTTCTCCGTATTAAAACATACTCCGTATAAGATGATATTACGGGTCGGGTAATGGTGCTGGTAACCATACCCGAACTAAACGGGGCGTTACAACTTAGAGGGCGCCAGGGCGGGTAACGGATCAGGTAAGTATAAAACTGTACCCGCCAGTTTACCCGTTTACATAAATTGGGTATTCCACGCCCCGACGCCCCGTACCCGTTACCCAGTCAACACAATTTTCTCCATTTTGACCAGTTCGGTACAATGCGAGTATCCGTCGGGTCGAGTTAAATTGTCATCCCTATTTTGCAGGCCTGTGGCACTGGGGCGATGATGGTGGTGGTGTCATCCTGCATGTATAATACTGCGTTGCACGGAGTGTTATTATTTTTATCCTGCCAATGCAATAAATCGTAGATAAGTAATACTACGTACTAAGTATCAAATGTTCTTAGTTAAATAAAAAAATTTCGATTTATTAGAACTCTTGACTTAGCGGACGTCTCTCTCTAGGGTTAGGCTCCTTAGCCGCCTAGTGTAGCTTTTCCCTTCCCAATTCGTTTCGGTTCAGCTTTGGCAGAAAAGTTGGTACGGAAACGGAGGTGGTGCAAACTGTTTTCTTGGGTGCTTTCGACAAGTGCAGGGGCATCAATCTTGCGCTTTTTCTTGTTCGAGTTGCTCTTTGTTGTGTGCGACGAAGGCCTGGTTTTCGGATGAGATCTGTTATCTGCTTCGGTGAAGCGGGAAGGCGGATGGAGGCTTCAAACAGCTGGGCAGCGGAGGAAAAAACAACTAGTGACAGTTTTGCTATGAGAGCGGGACAAGGAGGAATGAACGGGCTTCTTGTATTCCAGATTTTGATCGTCAATGGAGAATCAATTGGTGTGGTACCGATGGCAAGGGTTGATCGACGCGATTTGAAGTTTGCTTATTTATCTTTTCTGCATTTTAATTTTCAGATTAAGACGTTTGTGTTTTGTTGTTATTTTATTTTATGCTGTAAGACTTTTGCATTAGGTTTGGGGAATGAGAGGTCTACTGTAATCATCATTGGCTGTATGTTGCCCAATTTAGGTCTAGCGAGTTATATTGCTTTGTCAAAGGTGATTAACTCAGAGTCTCGGCCAAGGGCGGATGGTTACATGTGGTTCTTTTGTTATCCTGTACCCCTGCTGAATGCTATTTTATTAATCTAAAGCCATTTTGACGATAAAAAAAAATGTTCTTAGTTAAATCAGCATACAAATGTTTGGCCACCCGGGACCAAGAACCTAAGCCCTCCCAGTGTTGACTATTAGCTTCTTAAAACACCTTTAGAAAGTAGATTCTTAAAACATTAAGGAGATCAGTGCTAACAAACTATTATTATTATTACTATTATTATTATTATTATATATTATTAAATAGATATAATATATATCATATACTATATACTTATATGTGGGTCAACGGGTGGGTGGATGGAATGGGTTACGGGTCGGGTGATGTGTTGGATGAGCCTTCATCCACACCCGATCCACCCCGTCATCCATTTTTCATCCATATTTTCGGTTCGGGTTGATCGTGTATCCGCGGGTTAAGCGATGTAAAGAAGCATTGCTCATGAGAAGTGTGAAAGAAACATAAAAGGAAAGGTAAATAATGGAAAAGGTGTCGAGCGAAGAAATGATGAAAGTTGTGGATTTAGAGTAGAATATTAGAATCGAAGTAATGAAGAAACTTACAATTGGTATTTCTAATCAATAGATAAGCTAAATGAGTATTTAGCTTATCTAAATGAGTATTTAATACAATGAGTATCTAATCAATAGATAATCAATAGAATCTTTGTTTTAATACATTGACAAAGTATTTATTATAAGGAAATTATTGTTTTACACACCTAAATGAGTAATTGAGTTGTTAAAGTAAATCAATAGATTTATGGATCAATACTTTATACTTGTATTGCCTTTATTGAGTTATTATTTTCTATTTACTTTGCTCAAAATTTGTAATACAATTATATACTTTGTATACCTAGACCCTACTTCCTAGCCGACTAAGAATTGAAAAAAAAAACTAAACTCAACGATGTACAAAAGTAATTCACTAACAAAATGAACTAAATCAAATTGTTAGAAGTAAAATTGAAGATCTAAAATTGAAGTCTATTTGGGGCTTGCCAGACGCCACTATCCGCCATCACTACTTGTCATACTTGTCCGAGTGTTTACAGGGAATTGATATCTAATTCAAACTTTACCATTTATATTAAATACACATATATATATTCTTAATAGACTTATTTTTAAAATTGGAGGCCCCTAAAATTTTGGGGCCCTAAATGATTATCTAGGGAGAATGCCCGTAGAGTATTTCCATTTAAAAGCTACTAGTCTACCATTGGAACATTGCTCTTTCTTTTGCTTGAGAAAACTAATTAATCTAAATGAACTACTAGTTTGAGAAAGAGAATTATTAAATATAGCATTATAAATAATAAATGAAGAGAAAATAGTTATAGCTAGACATTGGAGTATATTTCAATTTTGCTACAAATGCTTATGTGGCTAGTCAAACTATGAAGATAATTAGCTAACCATTGAAAATGCTCTTTGACCGGCCCTGCTCCGTATGATAAGTCATATATTTGGTAATTTGGAAAAGTTCAAAACAAATCATTTTTTTTGTTATTTGTAAACATTTTGATAATATTCATAAAAAAGGCCTTAATTGACTCTATTTTACTAAATGTGCAAGGGGGTTTGTATTAAATTAAATTAAAAGCAAAGCAGTAGCAAACGAATATGATTTGCGCGCGATATTTTGGTAGCAAACTGGCACGGATGAGTCACGGTGAGTATTTCTGCATTTTGCACTCCTTTATAAAGCAGCTCGCCAGTTAGTTTCGCACTTCAGCTGTCAGCGAGAGATTTCATTTCAAATTCCGTTCAGAATTTATCTCTCTCTTCTCTTTCTTTGAATACTCTAATTGTTTCGTTCTATCTCTGGAAAGTTCTCTGAAAATGGTGAGAAATCCGAAATTCATCCATGGATAGCTTTATTGTTATCGTTTTTCCAGCTATCTAATTTGGAATTTCGGCTCACTCAAATCGTTCAGGTGGTCTCGCAGAAGGTGAAGGAAACTGAAATAACAGAGCAGGACTCGCTGCTTCTCGTAAATCTCATTCTGCTTTTCAATTTCAGCACCACATTTTATCATTTTTTGACATAGAAGTAGAGCATCGCATGGAAGTGAACTGGACTAGCCTATTTTAGATTATTTTTTTGAATCACCTCGTTTATACATCCTTTTGGATTATCATTGCGTGGTATATCATTATATCGGATCTAACATTTTATTAATCTCTATGGCTGACTGCATTTGCTTATTTACCAATCGTGTAAGCACTCTCATCTCGCATATGTATATTTACTAAATTGTTTCGGATAATCTGGGTAGGCTTGTGAATGATTGTTTTTATATGAACTGAGGTCTTAGATGATATTCATCTCCACTTCGTTTCAATTGAAATTTCAAAGGTATTCACGTTCTGCTAGTTTTGTGAATAGGCTCCATTTTTTTTGTGGTTGTTCATTGAAAAGTGTTTGTTGTATTTGCCCGGATGCTGGCTTGTTGCTGTAAGCATGATCACTCAGAACTCTGAAAATGATATGTAGTCTGTACTCCTATGTGTTCTAAAAAATCTGAAAATGCTGAGTATACATCTTGCATATGTATACTTACTAAATTGTTTTGAATGATCTGGGTAAGCTTGTGAATGATTGTTTTTATATGAACTGAGGTCTTAGATGATATTCATCTCCACTTCGTTTTGATTGAAATTTCAAAGGTATCCACATTCTGCTAGTTCCGTGATAGGCTCCGAATATTTTTCTGGTTGTTCATTGCAAAGGGTTTGTTGCATTTGCACTGGTGTTGGCTTGTTTCTGTAAGCATGATAACTCAGAACTCTTAAAATGCTATGTAGTATGTACTCCTATGTGTTCTAAAAAGAGAAGTGTACTCTGTTGTTGGAATTCGCCAATAGTGTTGATGAGTTCTATGTACTTATGTAGTATTTGAAAGCAAAAATGATTTTAGTTGAAGGGATATTGATGGCTTCCTGAAGATTTTGAGGAGTGAGCTTCATACACTTGTTTTAATTCTTTGAGAAAGTTGAATCTATATCATTAATGTCTGTCTCAGTCTCTGATAAGTGCACATGCATTATAATTACATGAGAACTCCCCCGCTGAGTGTTTTCTGCAATATTTTGTACAATAGACAAGGAATCTGCTGCGGATTGCAATATTTAATATCAGCTACATCCGTGGCCTTTTTCCTGAGAAGTATTTCAGTGATAAGTCTGTTCCAGCATTGGGTAAGTTGTTGAACAACATTGATAAATTAGCAGAATGGCATTGGTTTCTGAGTCCTTTTTTGCATCATTTGAAACAGAAATGAAGATTAAGAAGCTCATGCCAATGGATGCTGAGTCACGTAGACTGCTTGACTGGATGGAGAAAGGCATGGTTTATCCCAGTTTATCTGTAATACTCTCATTTGTGGGGTTGGCTTCTTTGTCTTGTTATTCATGGTGTTGGTTTATGTTTGTAGGAGTTTACGATGCATTGCAGAAGAAATACTTGAGAACACTATTGTTCTCAGTATGTGAAGCTATAGATGGGCCCATGATTGAGGAATATGCTTGTAAGATTTCAAGATATTATTATTTGCTGTAAAAGAGTTAAACTAGATTTTGAATATTGGATGGAACTATCTCATGATTTTAGATATGAAAGAGGTCGGTCTGAGTTTATGAAAAGAAAGAGTTACCAGATACCAGGGCTTTTAGAGTTTATTGCTTTGATAGAGTTTTCAGGGTCTGAATTTGTTTTATGGTTGGTATATGTCATGAATAAACGGATTCCGGAACATTAAAAAGATGCTAAGCAAATTTCTTGAAAAGATTTTACTGGTTTGACCACTATTTAATCTAACATTTATTTCTGCAGTCTCCTTCAGCTACTCAAGTTCTGATAGCCAAGAAGTTATGATGAATGTGAATCGTTCTGGAACAAAGAAGCGCGGGACGTTTAAATGTAACTCTGATGCTGAGGTAACCGCCAACCAGATGAGGTAGTTATATATACACACATCTTTATATGTGTATATGTATGTATATATCATTTGTTCTTGTTTATCTGTTGATCTCATGCTTATCTCATTTTAATTGTTGGTATCTTAGGAATTCTGCTTGTAAGATGGTTCGTACCCTGGTTCAACTGATGAGAACGTTGGATCAAATGCCAGAAGAGGTGTGTACTGTGTGTTAGCTTCTAAACTAACACCTGTACATGGATTTTTTAACTTTTGACCCTAAACTTGATACATATTTCCTCTTTTCATCTTTTATATCTCAGAGAACTATATTGATGAAGCTCCTTTACTATGACGATATCACGGTATGTGTCATATTTTAATGGGTTTAATTTTAATAGTTAATACTAGCCTATTAAATCTTTATATTGAAGTTTCATCATGAAAGATTTGGTAAGTTCTGATTGTTCATAAAACCTGTAATGTAACTTTTCAAGTGCCTGAATTGCCTTCCCATACCATTACTATTTACTGCATCATCTATTATGGGCTGCAGATAGTACACTCTGGAATATGCGTTTTTTTTTTTAGATTTTTGTTTATAAATCAATGTTTTTAATGTATATGGGGATATGGTCCTGCAATTCAAAGCTCTTTGACTGAGTTTTTGTTTTTACTTTTCTGCTTTTGCATTCAGAAATTTGCACTTTAAAATTCTGTTACTAAAGAGTAAAGAGTTGATTAATTGTGTTCAATGTGTCGTACCAGAAAGCATGATTAGCTTACTCATACATCTTACATCCCACAATGTCACTATATGGTATTGACGACATAATTTGATGCTAATGCAGCCGGCTGATTACGAGCCCCCTTTCTTCAGAGGCTACAAAGAAGAGGAAGCTCTTAATCCATGGACTAAAAGTCCTCTCAAAATGGATGTTGGAAATGTGAACAGTAAACATTTTGTACTTGCTCTCAAGGTAAAGGTTAGGTTGCACTACAGAGGTAATTTGAGGAGCATTTGATGTTAAATGATTTTTCCTTATAATGATTATTTGGACAGGTGAAGAGTGTTCTTGACCCCTGTGAAGATGATAATGATGATAATCATAGTGATAATGTGAGCTTAGCTGCTGACTCTGCCCAGAGAGATGATAGCGACATTGATAGTGAGGTTAAATTCTTCTCAATAGAGTCATCATATCAATTTAAAACCTGATTTATTATTTACATACGGAGTATGATTTTCTTGATGTGCTAAAAGCATTCTCATATTTAATTATGTATTTCAGTCCAGTCAATCTGATGATGATCAATATGTAGTTGCCCCTAGAGGTAACATATTACATATCTCTGATCCCTAAACTTGGCTCTCCAGAAAATACTTTTTATTTTTCAAAATATTCTGTCTTGCATCACTCCACGTAACACACTTCTTTCTTATGATCAGAGAAAGGAGAGAAGGAACAAAATGCTCCTCTAGTTGATGAAGGTAATCTTTTTTCTACATGAAAACCATGTGATAGATCATGAAGGGTTCCCACTTTGAAAGATACAAGAAATAAAAATTTATGTGTGCTTTTTAGGATGTTCAGATGATACACAGGACCCAGCAGAGGATGAGCACCAAATTGGGCGGGTCAGGGATTGGATCAATGCTCACCACCTTGCCAAAGTTGAACTGACTGATGTTTTCTCCAGTTTTCCTGACATTTCAGTGGTAAATACTCTAATATACTTTTATGTATATTTGTTACTGGAAAGTTCCTATTTTATTATTTAAAGTCAATCTAATGCAAGTCTGCAACCTGCTTACTTTTCATTAACCTTTTCAATTATTTGCAGGCTTTGATAGAAGGTACCTGAAGAACATCCTGGTTAAGCTTTACAATAATAATAAAGGAACCTTCTTTATCAATTTGAGTTCGATACTTAATGCATTTATGCTTTTTTTCAGAACTTATGGCAAAGCTTGTCACGGAAGGCGTTGTGTCAAAGACTGATACAGATACTTTTACCATTAACAAGCAGAATGTATATTTTAATTTCTTTTTATCCCTTGGTGCTTCATAATTTACATGTATTTTCTTTACCCGTTCCAGACTCAATCTATCTCTGATATACTAGCACTCCTTAATAATCATAGACATTTTGTTTGGGACAAATTCTGAACTGCAGAAATTCGATGCCGTGAAAGAAGAAATGGACTGTCAGTTTGGGCCAAAAGGCAACAATGCAAAAAAGGGCAGTAATCAAGATTACATGTATATGAAGGTGCTATTTTTTCTCATTCAAATCTGAGCTGGCAATTTTGTCTAGTGTATTTTCAATTTGAAGCAGTTCTCATTTCTACACATCCCAGGAATTTCATTCGTACAACACTTCAACATTTTTTCCACTGATTTTTTAGTTGATTGTGTGGCATTTTAATTTCAGGCTTTATACCATGCACTTCCCATGAACTATGTATCTGTTTCAAAGCTTCAGAGTAAACTTGAAGGGCAAGCCAGTCAACCTACAGTTCGCAAATTAATAGATAAGATGACCCAAGATGGCTTTATTGAAGCTAAAAGCAATCGCAAATTAGGTAGGAATAGTGGAATTACATTTTGCAGTGTCTTTTTGAGGAAGGGTATATTTTCATTCTTCATATTGTACCCCCCTTCCCCCGTTCAGGGAAGCGTGTGATCCACTCAGATCTGACTGAAAAGAAGCTTAGTGAAGTAAAGAAAGCTTTAGAAAAGGATTTTATGGTAATTAACTATCCACTCATAGGCCACTGTCTCCCCTTTTTTGATAGTATAATTTTCTCTCGTGATTTGATGATGCTTTTAATTGATGTTTATTCTTAGGAAGTGGAAAACCATGAATCAGGTAAAAAAAATTAAAAATTGAGTTTTAGGAATTCAGCCATATCATTTCATAACCCACTAACACCATAGTACATTAATTGCACAGTTAACAACCTTAAGGACTTGTCCACATGCGGTGGTCTCCACTCAATTGGGTCAGATGTCACCAGAACAAAGGGGAAATCTGATGCATACCAGAATGAGTCCATTAGGACCGATCAAACCGTGTCTAAGAGGAAGGATCTTGGTAGCACTCCCACAAGCAGGGTTGAGGTTTGTCAAGTTATTTCACTGCCTCTATGTGACGTTCACATTTTTTTTTCACTGATGAGTGATGACTACCCTACAGCCAGTGGCTTCTAGAGAGAGTTTTGTACCTGGACATGATGAAAACGGAAGATCTAATAACAAAGACTCCATCAACAACTGTGACGATTCTGACAATATTATCTGCAGCCGGTCTAGCCAGGGCAAACGTTCTAGGAAAGCAAGCACGGTATATATGCTTCTACTTGTCACCGGGGGGTGGGTGGGTGGGTGGGGGGGTATGCTATTATTTCAAGGTATGTTTAGATGTTGGAAAATAACAGACAAGTGAAAAAAGTGTAAAGCTTAGTTGTTTTCTATCTTAGGTTTTACTCCCTCCGTCCCAGAAAATTCTTCCAACTTTCCTTTTTGGGACGTCCCAGAAAATTCTTCCAACTTCACCTTTTTGATTATTTGTGTGGCTCACATTCATTTCACCTTTTTCTTACACAACTACAACCACACATTTCCACTTTATTCCCACTTTCTTAAACTCCGATCCAAGTCAAACTAGGAAGAATTTTCTGGGACGGAGGGAGTACCTTGCAAAATACAAAATAGAGATGAAACGTGATTATTCTTTTCTTTGAAGTTTGACATAAAATTAGAATATTGATACTCATATACATGAAGAATTTAACAAATGAGTTCGAACAGATTTCTATAACAAACTAATTGAGTAGATCTTTTTGTTTTCGTCCAAATTTTCTTTCATTCTCATTTTCTAGTCAATTTTCTTTCTATAGTACTTTTTAAGTTCCAGATTAGACCTTTACTGCCTGAAAGTCAGAATGTTATCCCGTTAATAACTCATTTATTCACATCATCTGTATTTACAGGTCAAAGAGCCAATTCTTCAGTCTGTTAAGCGCCTGAAATCTCAAGCGGCTTGAAGAGTCGTGGGGACCTTCACAACACTTCTCTCAAGAGTTTCTTTTTACTTGTACTGTTTATAAATATATATATATACACTTATAATTAATGGTGCTCAATATTTGCTCAGACATTGGCATGCATGTAAATTCCCAACAGATAGGGACTGACATGCACTGAACCTTCACATATGTTTCCAATTACTCAGTCTGAACTTTTATCAACTTATTTATAGAATATCGAAAATGTGTACGTTTTTTTCTTGTTTCAAGTGGCAAAAAGTGAGCATATCCTTTCTAATCGTTGTGAGAAATGATACCTTATCTTGGTGTTTCAGTTTCTTGGGCTGCCTTGGAAAATGGTGTTAGAAAAATAGTATTATAATTGCAAGTTTAACCATATAAAAATCCCGAGTTTAAACAAATCACCAGACAAACCGCCAAATGCAAGAAACAAAATAATAATGATAATTAGAATAAATGGAAAAAGAATAAAGAGAAAAAATAAGAAAAACTTATCGTAGGATCGCCCGTTAAAACGGACTGGCCCTGAAGAAAGATAGCCCCCGTATCCCGATAGCTATTCAGATGGGTCTGGCTAGCTCGCTCCCAGGATAATCCTACCACGTTTCAGGCTTGTAGCTATCTTGACTGAAACCCTCGACCGTCGCCAAAATGCCAAATTTGCCAATAGAAGAGATGAGTGCAAAATTATCAAGGAAGAAAGAGGAATCCGTGAAGGTGATAATATTCCTCCACTTATAAGAAAGAAGGGAAGCTTTTGGTTTTTGTTCGTACGTTCAGTAAAAGGAGAACTCTCAAAGTGTTCTTTAGCACTCAAAGTATATACGGAGTACTATGTATTTCAGTTACATGGGTTTTTCTTTTTAATTTGGAAATCAGATTTTAAATATCAGAGAATGTAACTGAAGCTAGGTGTTAATAATCTGGCACGATCCAAGTAATTCGGATAGCCTTAATAACCATCTTGACCAGGCAAACAATTTGAAATCAGATTACAAAATCCGTTTGGTCCATTTACTTGGCCAACAATTTTGAATATCACTTATTCAAATTATTCATTTGGTCCCATAAAGCTCCATCTCTAATATACGTTAGCAAAATATGAAAAGATTGTGATTTCAATGAAGAATTTATGTCCGGTAAACAAATGCCTTTTATCTAAACATATTATTCGAACCGTCACTCAAGTGAGTCTGTAGGTGTAGAATAATATTAATAAATCTTAATGTGATACTTAAACAATAATGTCCCTTATCACATAATATTTTGAACCCAAAAAAAATACAATAAAATAAAAGGCTATTTATTATTAACACAGACACTTAAATTCACTTTCTTGTTACATCAACTTTTCAAAATTTACAACTATGGATTCTAATCATTAGATGAAATAAATCCAACCATGTAAATTGTTCTTCTGATGTATAATAAGACACATCTAATCGTATTTTATACATATTTTCTTAGGACTCGAAAACAAGAGACCTTAAGAAAATAACTTATTTCATCATATTTCCAACAATCCCCCACAAATTCATAGTTGTAGACTAAACTCTAATGGACATAGTGTGCTTTCAAATATGGTACCTTCCGGTTTGAACCAAGTTCTAAGCTTTTACCCCTAACCCCCACAGGAACTGAGTGAACATAGTTCTTGAACTCGAACCTTGAATGTGTTGGCGTGGGATAAAAGCAACACACTAACGGCAATGACAACGATCTATAGGGTTGACGCTTTACGGCCATGCGTCCCGATCCTGTCTCAAGAATGTCATCGAGAATTAACCCTTATTCTCTTATTGCGGCCACACAATAACATTCTCATAGTTGGACATCTCCAAGAGTGCATTGCTAACACTCTGCTTTTAAAGCTTGATCCCATTCAGAGTCTTAAACTCTTACTAACTTAGCAATTTCAGCATCTCTAAGGCTTATCAAGGAATAGAACTCATTAAAAAAATGTTTTAATGAGATGCACAATTCACTCTACGGTTTGTTTATACCACATTGAACCTACTTTATGGGATCTCCACTCAGATAGGTTAGGTTGCTACCGTAGATGAATAGTTCTTGGGTTTCAGTCTCATTCCCAACTTTGATTTTATCACTTGATTTAAATCAAGTCCTTTTGTTAAAGGGTCTACTGTATTATCTTTGGATCCAACAAAATCAACAACAAACACCCCTTGAGACACAAATTTCCTTATAGTTTTTAATCTAACTTGAATGTGTCTCCTAGTCTTTTGATTATACTTGGTACTCCTAATTTTTGCAATTGTACTTATACTATCAATTGAAGGCAATTGATAGTTTTTAATCGGAACCCCTGACTTATGTTATTTTTCTGTTTTTTATTAGTTTTGAACTCTGTTTTGTTATTTCATTCCCCTTCTAGTAGCAGGAACAGCGTTGTTGTGTATGAAGTCTACCAAATTCCGGGGTTAGCGAGATGGGCCGCTAGTAAGTGCGATTCCAGCTCCGAGTCTCATCACAGTGTAGCCTTTGTTATGACGATTTTGTATCCGGACCTCAGTTGTGATAATTACGTTATCTGTTCTAAAAAAACCAATTAAATTAATTGAATGCACGAGGACTATAAATTTGGGTAATTCTAAATGCACACCGGTTTTTACTAAGGACAGCCTCCCTTTTTAATTTATTTTTAACAAAATGATTGATTTTACAAACTTGCCCTTAGTAAAAGTATTTTTATTTCTACTTGCTAAACATATCCTTACACAGGCCTAGGCCTAGACCGGAAGTTATGTTCTTAATACAGTAGTCCATATGACCATATATAGATGGTGAAGGCTAAATAAGGCCCAATCTTGCAGAGGAGGTGGAGGCTACGGTGGTAGGAGGCACAAAGAAGACGTTGTGTCGGAGGTGGTGGGAGGCACAAAAAGACGCGGCCTCGGAGGATGCATAGGTGATCACCGCAAAGGCTGTGACGCCGGATATGGAGGTGGCGGCGATGGACGTGACTGAAGCTATGGCAGCGCCGGTGGCTGCTATGGCGGTGGCCGGCGGTGTTACTCCAGGAGAAGAAAGAGCTAACTACTCTCATGATCTCTGATTTGAATACACACATGTATATATATTGAATTAAAGATAGCAACGATTAATCAAAGATGCACTCTGATTTAGTGACTGGATTTTAAAATATAATACTGATACGGTGCTCTAAAAATGGGCATTTGATGCACTCTCAGTGATTCATCACCTAGGCATTTTGAAAATGACAAAATAAGTGACTCAATTACTAGTGAATGATAAATAACACTGACATGGTGTTTAAGCTTCACAAGAACAAATTACTTCTAAGAACTGATAAGGCAATGAAAAGCAGATCCGAAATGATGGATGAACGAATTAGCCCTCTCATTGGCAGCAGAATTTTGGACCAATTCTGCAACAGAGGTCCAAATAGAATGAAAGACAATCCACCCTCCAATTCGATGAAGATGAGAAGCCAGTTGACGGACAGTTGAACCAGTGAAGTTGCAAAAGGGTGATGCTAGAAGACTAGAAGGCTCGAAGCGTCGAACTAGATCAAAGAAGACGTTGGTATGGAAAAGTGATCGGGGATATAATAGGCATTACATTTCTATTTAATTAATTAATTTTAATTATGGGCTGTGAGTTGCAATTATGTGGCTGCATTTAGAATTACCCATAAATTTTTAATGGAAGAATGATCAAATAAACTCTATTATTATGAAAATGTCAATTAAGCCCACTAACTCAAATATTACCCAATTAAGCATTTGAACTTTAAAACACGCTCGAATCGCTCTTTTTACCGGGTAAACAACCGGTAAAATGCTTTTGACGGCAGTGACACTATTTTTTTCTTTTTTCTTAATTTTTTCTTCCTTTTTCATTCCTCTCTCTCCCCGTTCACTCTGTCTTCGCCACTGATCTAAAAATCGATCTAGTCAGATCGACTAATCGGCCTAGTCAGCCCTAACTTTAGAGGACTAATCTGAATAGTCGACCGAAAAATCGGTGTAGTCGATCAAAAAATTGGCCTAATCGAACACTTAGGCGCTAGGCTCCAGGCACCGGCCCCTCAACTGTCCGATTAGCGTCTAGCGAGTTTTAGAAGAATGGTCTTCACCCAACCTGTTTCTCCCTCCGGATCCATGTTATTCTTTTGCTTTCATTCTTGAGTGCAATTTAATTTGTTCATCCCATATAATCATCGCACAAACGTATTAAAGTGATATGTGTATATGAGGTTGTCTCCATTATTGAAGATGCCACATAGAGACAAACTCATATACAAATATATCACTTAATCCACACGAATCCTTAGGAGATGCCACATGGCAACAAGGGAGGGAAGGGAACGAACCCTTGGGAGATGCCACATGGAGATTAGGGCTGAGCACGAGTCGGGTTCGGGCGGGTCGGGTCTGCGTACCCTTAACCCGTTCGGGTTTTTTAAGCTAAATACTAGGCCCGACCCTTTGATATTTCAAATCGGGTTTTTCAGATATTTGTAAATCGGATATTATCAGATATCGGATCGGGTTTCAGATATTTCGGTTATATTAAAAAAAATTATAATTGGATAATTAAAGTGTTTGAATGCCACTTTGACAAAAATTCTACAAACTAGTGCACTAAACATTCAAATCACGCAAATAATTTAATACAAATTGCATAAATAATTACACAAATAATTGAACACAAGTTTTAATTTAACATATTCAAAGTACACACTACATAATTTAATATATTTCGAATATTTCGGTTATATTAAAACACATTATAATTGGATAATTAAAGTATTGGAATGTCACTTTGACAAAAATTGTACACACTAGTGCACTACACATTCAAATTACAAAAATAATTTAACACAAATTGCACAAATAATTACACAAATAATTGAACACAAGTATTAATTTAACATATTCAAAGTACACACTAAATTATTTAATATATTTCGGATATTCGGGCGGGTCGGGATTTTACAAACCCTACCCGCCACTCGATCTAGGCCCAATACTAATCGGATTTTCGGTTTCGGATTTTTTGGGTCAGATATCCATTTCGGTTCGGATATTATCCGAAAAAAACTTCGGGTTTTACGGGTCGGTTCGGGTTTTGCTCAGCCCTAATGGAGACAATCTATTTTACAAATATCACTAATCCACACAGATATCCTAATTCAGACTTAATAGAAAATAGTAAATAGTCTGTAATACTACATACATAATAAATAGAAAGTGTAAATTAAG